AAAAAAAAAAAAAAAAAAAAAAAAAAAAAAAATCTAATCAACTGGATTTGCTCATATATCCTCTGTTCCCACATTTATATATGCTGACAGGCACTTGTTAAGATTATTTTTTTTTTTTTAAATTTTAATCCTTTAAATATGATATACTAATCTTAAGCTACACATAGATCTTGAATATATTCATTCATTCATGTTAAAGTAAAAATATACTCCCTCCAATTTATAATAAAAGTTGTTTTGAAAAGTTGCACAATTATTAAGAATATTTTTTTTGCCAATAATAACCTTCATTAATGAGAATATAGATGAATGTTTTGAGAAAAATATGTACAAAATATCCAAAACGACATTTATTTTGTTAATAGTTGATAATGCCAAAATAACATTTAAAAAGAATAGGAGGTAGTATTAAATAACAAACATTGTTTCACTTTAAGTTGTGGGCCCCACCATAGTAACTCCCCACATTGACCCCCATAATTTTTTCTTTTCCCACTTTTCAACCTAAAATAAAAAAATAAAAAATAAAAAATTTCACCTAAGCTTTGACTTTCAGTCTGAGGTGTAATTTTGTTTTTTCCGCTTCAGTACCAGAAAAAGGGAATGGAAACTTAATGGAATTAGAATGTGAGCAGATGGGATTACAGTTCACTAATCCCATGTGACACCATGAGATTAATTATTAATGACAGTATTAAACAATAACATTGTACCATTAATTACCTAACTTAATCCCATTTTTATTTAATTTAGGAGATTTAATTGTGTGCATTGGTGTTAACAAAAATTGCGCTTCATCCAAGTCCAACTCCAAGGACTGCATTTCATGGGAATCATATAAACAAAATTGGGCAATTTGATTATCTCTCCATTTTATTTATTCATTCTTTTCCATAAAAAATAAATAAATTAAAATAAAATGAAGCTAATTTAAATTATTACTAATAGGCTGCCATCTTTTGGGGCTAAATGACATTATTTTTATTGAGATCCAATAATAATGGGTCTCTGCTGGTGCAATATTTATTGCACCCCAGATTCAAATTTTTCTCATCACTCTTCTGCATACAGACAGCTCCTATTATTTATAGCAAACATTTATTAGTATTTTTATTTCTTTTTTTTTTCCCCTCTCTCTCTCTCTCCACAAATTGACCTCATAATTTCAATCTTTTTATTTTCTCAAAAAAAAACAAAAAAAGAGAGAGAGATACACTCTGTTTTTATACCTCACTTCTATTCTATTTGCTTTCTACTTCCAAATTTCAAAACAAAAACAATAAAAAAAAAATGGAGACGAGCGGAGCAGATTCTCATTCCCTCCCTCCTCCGCCGTACCTCCTCTTCCTCCCTCCGCCATCGTCCCCTCGCGGCTTTGACCTGAATAATCGCGTGAGCCCCAGCATGCTCCTCATCATCATCATCCTGGCTGTCATCTTCTTCATCTCCGGCGTCCTCCACCTACTCGTCCGGTTCCTCCTGCGCCCTCCTCCCCCCCTCCGCCGCGACCGGAGCTCCGACCCCGTGACCGCCCTGGAGGGCCAGCTCCAGCAGCTCTTCCACCTCCACGACGGCGGCGTTGACCAGTCGTTCATCGACTCCCTCCCCATCTTCCCCTACAACTCCATCATCGGCGTCAAGGACCCCTTCGACTGCGCCGTCTGCCTATCAGAATTCGACCCCGACCACAACCTCCGCCTCCTCCCCAAATGCAGCCACGCCTTCCACGTCACTTGCATCGACACGTGGCTCCTCTCCCACTCCACCTGTCCCCTCTGCCGCTCCTCCCTCCTCCCCGACTTCCCATCCGCCGCCGCCGCCCGCTCCCCCTTCCTCCTCCTCCTCGAATCCCGCGCCCACAGCTCCCGTGATTTCCTTCCCTCCGACCACAATCAAGCAAGCTCCTCCCAATCGACCGACCAAAAATCGGGTGAGATTCAAATTCAATCGAAGGATGACGAGAATCAGAAATTTGCCGCCGGAAAAGTCGTGGCGGTCAAGCTCGGAAAGTTTCGGAACGTCGTCGGAGGCGAAGGGAGTAACGGGCATGATAACGATGCGGGCCCCAGAAGATGCTTCTCGATGGGCTCGTTCGCGTACGTCATGGACGAGAGCTCGTCGCTACGCGTCCCGATAAGGACTACGCCGTGGAAAAAGACGCCGGTGCCCCTGATGCCGGGACACCGGCCGGCGATCTCTGAATTCGGCGGCGGCGGCAGCTGTGGAGGCTTCGGCTCGTCGTGGAGGGAGTTCATCCACGGAGGAGTCGAGAACGGGGAGAAGAATAGTTTTGAATTTGGCGGTGAGGTATATAGTAGTAAATCATCTTCGGTGTCTAAGAAAGAGAGCTACTCGGTTTCGAAGATTTGGATGAGGTCGTCCGGGGGGAGGGACGAGTGGTCTTCGGGTGGGTCGAGACGGGCGTTTTCGTTTCGGTTTCCGATCAACAACAACCGGTGGGGGAGCGAGGATGGGGACGTGGGGAGCCGAGCGAGTTTGGATTCGGAGGCGAACTTGCGGTCGTCGTTTGCTAGGAGGACGTTGTTGTGGATTATGGGGCGGCCGAGCAAGGTGGTTCATCACTCATCGGAGGCTTCTTCGACTGATGTTGTTATTGTTTAGGGTTATCGATGTCATTCTGATAGGCCAGAATGAGATTTTCTGCTCAACTTTCATTTTGTGTTTCACTCTGTTGGATGAATGACATGTGTAAATGATGGTATCATACTTGTACACATGTCAATCATCCAACGGAGTAAAACACGAAATGGAACATGAAAGTGGAGCAGAAAATGTAAACCCAACTTTTGTTGTTTGGATAATGTTTAGTTTAGTGATTAGGGGACAAAATAGGGAGATTAGAAAGGTGGATGGAGGGAACACCAGGAAAATGTGTATGAAAAAAGGAAATCATTTTGTAGGAGATTTAAAAAAAAAATTAAAAAAAAAATGGTGTTTATGAATAATGTTTATATATATGTTTCTTTTTAATTAGTTTCTCGAAAGTTCAAGTATGAGCTAATCTAAATTGATTCATGACTTTTTTTGTTCTCTGGAATGGTGTTCTGTCTTGGTTATAGTCGTTAATTTAAAAATCTGCAGTTTGGAAACCGGATAGTCTAGTTCGGGCAAAAAAAAATCCGCTCTCTCTCTAAAAATCCTCTTCATCCCAAAGAAGCCTTCCCTTCCCAGTGGCGCCCTTTATCAACGCTGGCATCCGCTACCCGATCTGGAGC